GCAAACAAAATTCTTAATCATAATTAACATTCTCTTCAGAGGCTTCGTAGACTTATGGCTGTTTGATTAACTTGGAGATTCACTTTCTGGATAAACATTTACATATCTTGCCTGAAAGTCTGTGACGAGGCAGGAGGAAGAAGCACGTTTCCACCAAGATATTAAGGAGTTGAAAAAGACATAACGTCAGGTTCGGTGAAATGTAAACATGATGGGAGACTACAGTGAATTCTACATCAGAACACACTAGAGTATGCATTAGAGGAAAAGCAACACAAGTAGAAATATGGTATAATGTACTAACTATAGGCGAAAATTGCCTAGCGTAAGTATCTTCCCATCAGCTGACCATTGATTTCTAGCGCGCAATATTGGCAATAGGAAAATGTTTATTCTGCGAGTGTTCTTGGCTGTCCAGGTGACGCCGTCTCGTCGAAGGCTGATACCAAAGATGGCATCACAGCCAACGACACGACATCGCCTAGACAGCCAAGAGCAAATGCTAGACGCTGGCCGCGGAATCCTACGTTTTCAAATATTAATGTTGTTTTAGAGGGCGTGGGTTGATTAATAAGGTACTTTTGAATTGCAACAAATACAGTTTGAGTACATTATCTCTTGGAAGCTTTCTTAATTGATTGCTAATGAGAATAGCCTCATTGTCTGAGCAGTAAAATCCGGGAAACATCTAACGTCAAGACATCTGAGATACTGATCGTACAGGAAATAATTTAAAGCGCCGCCGGTTTGGTCCTTGGGCAGCTATGTGAGCTGTCACTTAGATCTTTCTTAGCACCGCCTGGTTTCTCGGCACGGTACTAATTTTGTAATTTCCCTAGCGAGCGGATGAATACCAAATGGAGAGGATCAACAACTTACATTAAAAAAAAAATGACGCCGGGAACGAAACCTTGTGCGAGGCCAACGTCAGGGCGGGAACGGAGTAAAACAGGTTGAGCCAGAGATAGGCGGCCGAGCGCGTCGGGCAGGTGTTTCCGCCGCCGCAGCCGCCGCCTTCCTCCCGAACGAGGAGAACAACTCCGCGCGCCAATTAGGGTTTTTGTGACCCACGCGGGCTGGGCGTCCTCGCAGACCTTCGCAGCGGGCGCGCTGCTTCGCGACGCCATGTGCGGTTCTGGGAAGTGGTTGGTCGACGCACGTGGCGCCGCGTTATTTTAGTTGGCGCTGCTCTCGAAGAAATGAACTTAATGGAAACGAGTTTCAGTTCTTCGAAGTATTTACTAAGATTTGTAGGTCGTTTTACTCGACAGACTTCGAAGTAACTTATTTATTCTTAGCTTGAATCATTCTGGAGAAATGCAAAAATTCTATGCTTGATCTAGAAATGCTCCAATTTATTTATCCAAACCGTTTTTTACTTTCTTGATTGCGTACCGAATCATAAAAATGACGACATTATCTTTGAATATGAGTACATTACCAGCAATAATATGAAAAAACTACCACTTTTTAATTCAAAGAACTTATCCTTCATGTGTTCATTTGCTTCTCCTACAGCCAGTTCGTGCATTCTATTCAGCAGCAATTACATACTATTTTACGACATTTCAAATGAAATTAGCGCTATGCTTAGTATGTAGATCCTCTTCAAATTTACAGAGTTACGATTCTTTGAATATTATGACAGCAATTTTTAGCAACTAGTCCCAGAGAAAGGGATTGCAAGCTATTAAATGCCAAGAAATATAAATAGGAAAAAAATAGTTTCGTAGTTCCATATTTTCATATTTGATATCATCATTGCTTCAACTTTTTTAGTTATCTAACTTTAATTTTTTAATGTCATTATTTCTCAATAATTAAATATAAATAAAAAAATATTTATGTTTATGAAACTAAGTGTATTATTTTTTTTCGGAAGCTTTCTGCGTTTCTTCCTTAACTACATTTTATTTAATTAATGCATAGCTGTAAATAGCTTTTCACTGAAATAACTGACGATGCACACAACGGCCGTGAGGGTGTCAATTAAGTCGTGAAGATCTTGAGTGTTCATGGCAAATTGTGTTCAGATCTAATACGTTGTGAAGGAGTAAAAATGACACACAATTACAAAAGGAAGTAATCTGATTTATTTAAAATGTGAATTTTAATGATATTACTTCACAGACAAAAAACTTAAAAACTATATACAGAAAAAACAATTGTCATGGAAGCCGTTCCTATAATAAACAGATTACTGGCTTTCCTTAAAAAGAAAAAGCCCATGAAAAGGCAGGAACTAGGCGAGGAACACTTTATGTAGGGCACCATTAGATAAGCTGCATATTTCTGTGCCTAGAGATGGCGATAATAGAAGTAGCAGTATCAAGTGAGCCCTAAGTTTGAAACATATCACATCTGGGGACTCGCAGAAGTGATCCGAAATCTGAAAAGAGATTTGAGAAATTTCTTCCGAACGGAAAATACTGCGTACATTGAGCCGCATTTTAAATGCATGCGCAACATTAGGGCTTTTGTTGTTTGGAGTATTCACTTCACTAGGCGACACAGCATGCTCCGTTAGCATGGGGGAAGCCATTCCATCATCAACACAGTCCGAGCGCACGCCGCTCAAGCGAAGACGACCGCGTCGCTGTCGGCCGACGCGGAGGCGGACGCCTGGCTGCGCGAGCCGCCGCCGCCGTTAAGCCCCAGCGAGGCCGCCGCCGGCCGTTGTGGGCGGACGTTTGCGCTCGCTTTGTTTTGGGATTAGTGTATCTTGTGTTCTTTTGGTAGTCTCGTAGTTCTGTGTCCGTCGTTGGCCGCCGCTTTGGTTTTTGTTTCTGGCTTTTTTTCTGGTAGCCTTCGGCGTATTTACTTTGCCGCGTTGGTATTCTGATTCGCTACGTTAAGCTTCTTGGTCTTTGCCCTCTGGTTGGTTTTGGGTTGTTGGGTTTTTGGTTTGTGTCGTGGTGTGTCCTCAGTTGTTTCTTGGAGCTGCTCCTTTCTTTATGGCTGAAGTCCTCGGCACGGTCCTGTTTTGTTCCTTGACTCCTTTGGGTACTTTGGTGTGCTGTTTTTTTATGGGATTTGTCGTGTTTCTGTGTTGCGCGGTCAATTTCCTTGGTGTAGATTTCCTCTCGTGACTCGGTCGCTCGGTGTATGTGTTCATCTCGTTGCCTCTGGTTTGGCGCTCGTCCAGATTTGCCACTGCTGTTGCTTTGTTGCTTGTTTCTTTTTGGTGTTTTTCTGTGTCGGGTTGTTCTGTGGTTGCGATTTTTGTGGTGTTTTGATTGCGTGGTGTTGTGCTGTGTTATCTGCGCGACAGGTTTGTCGTCTTTTCTCTGGGATTTTTCCGTAGTGAGTCGTGTTTGTTCGGTAGGCCTATTCATATGTTGGACTCGTATTGTCGGACGTTTGTTTAACGCGACTCCCCTACCAGCGAGCCACCGCCGCCGTTGTCCGGCCGTTACCTACCGAAGCAAAACCGCCGCCGTTCCCACGAAGCCGCCTTCCGTTTGCCTATACCGGGAAGCCGCCGCCGTTGCCGTCCAAATCCTCCGTTGCCCCTCCGCCAGCCGAATGCTAGGTTCCTCCACCGCCGGCCGGCCTCCGGCAACATCAGCAGACGCGTCCGCTGTCGCTTTCGAGCCCGCTGACGCTCCGCGCCTTCCGTAGCCGCCACCGGCCAGCCTGCCCGACGCCTCCGAAGGCTTGCGTTTCCACCGAACGCTCCGCCGCCGGCTCCGCCCTCCCTCCGTTCCCGAACACTTCCTTGATGGCCCATGATCGTCTCCACTCCGTATAGTTTGCGCCGGCATCCACACCGCCGCAGCACCTCCGCAAACGCCACCGCCGCCTCCCGACAAGACGCACTCCGCCACCCGGCGTTGGCCCGGCGTTTCGCCTAGAATTTAGCTTCCTGAGCGCCGTAGCCCGCTCCACTACCAGTGCACCTGCCGCGCCACCACTCCGCATACGCCGAACGCCGGTTGCCTCACTCCACCACCCTCCGTGGCCCTGCCATGACGCACCACCCAGCGCCCGAAGTTGGCGCCACGCCTCCTAAACACCGCCTCCACCGCCGCGCCGATTGTCCATTGGCCGCCAGCCACGTTTGTATCCCCGCCGCCGCCTCCGACGAGACCGCCACCGTTTGGCGTTGGCCGTTGGCACTTCGCAGAAGCCTGGCTGTTGGCGCCGGCGCCTGCAACCACCTCCGGCCGTGCCGTCCGCCAGGCCCCGCCGTGGAGTCCGAAGTTGCCACCGCCGCCTCCTCCCGTATCCTCCTTGCCCTCCGAACCCTCCTTGGACCTTCGAATCCTCCGTTTGGTGGAGGCTTTCTTCCAGTGGGCCGTGGGCGTGCCCGTGAGGGCGGGGGGCGCTTTTGGCCGGGACGACCACGATAATGGGAGCACCTCCCGCCGACGCCAAACGTTTCCGCCTCCGTAGCCGCCGTCCGCCCTGGCCTCCTCCACCCACTTAAAACGCCGACCGGTTCCGCCCGTGGTCTCCGCCGCCCACCCCGAAGCCACCGGCTGGTAGCCGCCGCCACCCTCGTCCTGCACCCGTGTGCGTTGGCGTTGCGCTAGCGCCGGCATTTAGCGGCGCCAGCCACCGCCGCCGTGTAGCCCGTAACCCGGCCCGTAGCCGAAGCCGGGCCCTCCGCCTCACCCGCCGCCGGAGCCGGCGCGTGGAGTTTAGCGTTAGCGCTGGCGCTTTCCGCCACGCCGCCGCGCGCGCAGGTGGGCGTTGAGTGCGACGTGGAGATGCGCGGTCCGGTCGATATAGATCGGAGTACGTGAGTAGAAGGGAGATCCGCGATTCTGGTCGGGAGAATGGCGGAGCAGGGATTGATTGGTCAGGGGAGCCGAGCGGCGCCGAGATCAGCCCTAAAGCGAAGGTCAGGGTCAAGAGATTAATCGATCAGGTGAGTTGGAGCTGGATTCACAGTTGGTGGAAGGGGCACAGAGATCTGCGCGTACGCTATCGATAACTTGTGATAAGCGTCTGGACGGTATCCAGCTATGCACTCTAGTAGCGCTGCGATCGCGGTCTCAGGGCGGCCGGGCATGGTGCCGGCCAGCTTGCTCCCAAGAAGCTTTGGTATGAGTTTGCTGCAGCGGGCACCGCGTGAGCTCTCCATGGAGGCAAGGCGAGCCCGCGCCGAACACAGCCTGCAATAACACAGCTGACACAAAGAACATGTTTATGCATGAAGCTGGTAAGGGCGTGGGTTTGGTTTTATGAATACCGCAAACTGTCTCCGTGTTTGCTGAGCGAGGAAAGAAGCGCTGAGAACTTCCGTTGTAGAGGATTAAACGATCGTTAAGAGATTTTATTATCACTCTATCATTGAGGAAAGTTACTTTCTGCGAAAGATGGACCGGGGTTTGCACAGGTGGCGGAAACAAATGAAATACATGCAAGGGCGATGACATTGCAAGAGTAGATGAAGTCACTTAGAAATACGAGGCTAAATGTACGAACGCACTAACAAAATGATTGCAATTAGGACATTATTTTTGCTGTTATCAAGTGCCAGGCAGCGGCCAAGGCAGTAGTTACTCAAAACGGATCCCTTCTTACAACAATATCTCTGTA